CACAATAGCCTCCACCCTAAACTCCCTGCTAGACAATTGGAAGTCAACAGAGCATGGAAAGTAACCAAAGCAACAACAAACACCAAACCTCATAAATTTCAAACTAGATGGACTCCATCTGCCACATTAAATGCCTCATAAAAGACATGATATGTCCACTTCCAAGAATAAGTACCACTCACCTCTGACTACTGCATTGTGTAGGACATTGGCTTTCACTGAAAAATCACAACAGACTAAACAAATCAAGGAAACAGAACCAAAGGAAGAACCAGACACAACTGTGACACATGATGTAGGAATTATCAGAATCGAAAATATCCATGAGCATCACACTACATGTGCCGGTGGAAAACACACATAGCATGTATGATCATAAGGAGAAATTCACCAGAAAGATGGACACAGAAGAAAGTATTAAAAATGCAGGAGGAAAGACTGCCTTTAGCATGTCAATAAATACCACATGGCTAAGAAAACCTATCTGTGAGCTTCAAAGCATGCTTGGAGAAATCCTCAAACCTAAACACACCCAGACACCTGGGCAAACATTACTTCAGGTTTTTTTGTAACGTGCTTTTAGATGAGACTTACACTGAAGTCAGTTGACAAGTAAAGCAGACATCCTGCCTTTGTCCATTCAATCAGCCAAAGGCCTGAATAAAATGAGACTCTGATCCAGCCTCTCTCAGATAGGACAGAGTCCTCCCAACAGGGACAGTAGCTCTGTCAGATCCCACACTGGAATACCAGCTCTGCATACTCTGGGCTTCCAGCTCTGTGATCACATGGGACAGCTCCTCATAAAAGTCTTCTGATAGATGATTGGAAGATAGACAGACAGATAACCGATTACCAATGGAGTGATAGATCCATCTTCTACTGAGTGTTTCCCTGAAAACCCTAACATACCTGGGACCTGGACTGCACCAAATCCTGGACAGAGTCTTAAGAAGACTTCCCTCCAGTTAATATTGTTTCTCATCCACACCCAAAAAAAACACTACTCTTATTTCCAAAGACACCTTAATCACCAATTCTTTTAAAATAAGATAATAAATATAAAAAGAGAGTCATTCATAAACATACTTTAATTCTAAGTAACTTAGAGCTAATTAATGTAACAAAAGAAAAGCACTACTTCAAGTTTTAAAACACCAGCTTTATGGAAGAATTATTCAATAGTCCTAGTGTTGAAGAATTTGAGAGTCAGGAGATATCACAGGTGAAACAAAAGGATTTATACCAGATTCTAGGTGCACACTGGCCCAACAGACTTGCCTCCAAAGGCTGAGCCCAGAACAAAGGAAGGGCTCTAGTTTAATACATGCTGTCTAAAGGGATTAGTGTACCTAATGACATGAAACTTGTGGACAGAGCAGAACAAAGGTAATTAGTGAAACTTGTGAAAGTTTTGCAACTTAGCATATCTCGATGGCCTTGGTCAGGTAAAAACAGAACCTTATGAGAAGAGGAGATTGTGGAACCATACTTACAGGAACAAAATTACTAATTTTATTTATAACAGAACAAAGAACAACAGCCATATGGAGGGTGAAATCTAAATGGAAATTTGCTTCGGTTGGGGAAACTTGTTTTCCCTTTTTTTTGTGTAAGTCCTGCTTCAGTAGAACTGATGATGATTATATGGGTGGTAAGTCTCCATGGTTTATTTTTCTCAAGATTTTTGTTTGTTTGTTTAGTGTCTGAACAAGTGCTGACAGCTCAGCACAGAACAGGCCAGGGATATATCTCAGCTGTGCCTGCTTGGCAAGTGCAAGGTCCAAAGTTCAACTCCCAGTACCAGAAAAAAATAAAGACTGAACAGAAAAAATCCCCCCAAGTTAGAAGGAGTCCATTACCACTTTTTTTATTACCACTTTTATAACAAATATTCTTGCATGGAAATTTTCTTATTCTGTAAATATTGATGTGTAAACTTAACTTCAGTGCTTACTTAGCAACAAGAACTAGCTAAGTGTTTATTTTGACAAATTTGTGCAATTGACTAAATGACTTTTTATTATTGATTATTTGAATATTTCATGACAACGGTCCCAGCCTTAAATTTTAACCAGTGTGAAAATACAATCTTTCACTGAAAAGATGAAATAGCATCTGATTTGTGACAGTTTTTTGTTTTATACAGTATGTATTCTGAATCAACAAAAGTGGGTCAGAATATAAATCTGCATAATAAACTCTAGCTTTATTTTTAAAGAGAAAAATGCTATGAATTTGTGAACATTTTGCTTAGTACTCCAGTTAGTTTCACAATATCCATGAAAGCTTAATGAGATTCTAACCATGAATGCAGGGATAATGGTCAACATAATTATGTCTGTTAGTTAAGCCAATTATCCTTTTCCACCTCCGTATGAAAGAATAAACATGGTGGCATTTGTTTCTTTGTTTGTTTGTTTTAATTGCATTCACTTACTGCATCAACCATGTTCTCATCACCAAGACTCCATACAAGACACCCACAAAGGAAAAGAGGACAGTTGTATTTTGGCTCACATTTTCAGTCCATGGCTGGCTGGCTCCAAGGCAGGAAGGGCCTGGTCACAGGAAAGCTGCTCAAGTCATGGTAGCCAGGAAGCAGAGACAGAAGGGAGGAGACAGGGAGGGTGACACAGTCTTCTAGGTCATCCACCAAGTCACCTGCCTCCTCCGGCCAGGCCCCACCTCCCAAAACGCTGTCCACTCTGGTGCCCCCATAATTTAGTCCCCTTCCAAGAGCCCTGAAGGCCTCTGGGAGGGCATTCTCCATGTAAGCCCTAGCAGTTGCCAAACTCTTTAGGACAAAATCAAGCAAAGAATTATTACAAGTTTAAAAATATAATTTAGTTGTCTTCAGCATGGAACAGCAAAGGAGCCTGGCAGCAGCTTGCTACCTTCTGGTGGGGCCGCCTTGGCCCAGTGTAGCAGAGGAGTCCAGCCACATGGGCACCAACACAGTGGTGTCTGTGTCTCACCCCTGGAAACAAGAGAAAGAGGGCCTCCAGGAGGCTCCTGGAAGGATATTGAAGTCCACTAAAAAAGTGAAGAAAATCTGTGATAAAAGCGTATCACACCACCATAGTTAGTAAATTGGAGGAAACAGCACCTCACATCAGAACATGGCCTAACTTCTGGGAACATTTTCTTTAAAATGGAGTACTACTCAGCCATAAAGAATGAGAAATAAGAGGCATTTATAGCTAAGGGGATGCACACTGAGGCCACAGCTGAGTAAATATGGAATAGTTTCTCTGGTGTGAAAAGCTAAAAGTGTAAATAAGGTTGAAATGGTATCATTGATAGTATGAAAGAGAAGAAAGTGGCTAAATGGAAAGTGGGAAAGGAAGGGAAAAGGAAACAAGAGAAAATAAAAAATGTGAAAAATGGAAAAATGGAAACAAAGTCCTTGTGAATAGGGAAGAGTGAAGGGGGAACCGAGATACATCATGTAAAGGTGCAAGATGCCAATGATGAATGTAACTGTATTGTTTGCTTTAAATGTACCAATAAACTTAATGGGGAAATATACATATAAAATGTAGTTTATATAGATAACTGCCCATTTAGTCTAGAGGAAATGCAGTTTTCCTATTGTTTGTTTCCATTTCAATTAGATTTTACTTTTTGGAGCTAGGCATGGGGAGCAGACGTGTGGGGAGCAGGGAGCAGTGGGGCAGTCGGGTCTAGGTGAAGTATTTCATTGTGGGTCCACACCTGAGATGCAGTGAGCATGGTGAGACCATGCGTGGACCCCTGGTGTGGCCTGCGCCAGCATTTTTGGGGGGAACTGTTCACGGAGCCGTGGTGCTGAACAAGAGTGCAGGAGGGTGAAGTGTGCATCTGCTCCTCACCCAGAGCATCCTTCCCCCCCATCTCTCTCCTCACCTCTGGGGGGCGCTCCTCCCTCTCCACTGCTGGACCTCACTGTGGCCCCATCTAGCCTGCTCTGGCCCCACTCAGGTTCATTCCCCAGCACCCAGCCACCTGCCGACCTGAGCTCCCCCAGCTGTCCCCACCCTCAGGCACGCTGGCCAGGAAGTGGGAAACCCAGAAGCAGAGCTCTGCTGAGACAGCTGTGAGGCCCTGGCTCTGCAGTCTCCCCCTGCAGACTCCTGGGAGGACCTGCTCTCCAAGCCTTAGCTCCCCTCACTCCTCCTCCTGGAGGGGGCACAGCTGTTCCCTCAAGTGGAAAAAGGTCTGTCACCTGGCCTCTTTGTAGCAGAGACAGGCAGAGGCTGCCCCTTGCTCCTATCAGGCCCATCTCGGTGTTGTAACTGGCAAAGAGTCTGTCACCCCATCCCCACTATGGTGAACAGAGGGAGGACACACAGACCTCTGTGTCGCAGTGGTCACTAAAAGCAGAGCAGCCTCGGAGCACAGCATGCAGTGCCCATCCTAGGGGAGGGGACAGCAAGGGAATAGTTGTCGAACTGGCATTGTTGCTGCTCACAAATCTGCAGTCACATCAGGACAGTTACTTGGAAACTGAACAGTCCAGTGTGGTTCCCACACAATACCAACTCTCCCCTTAGATTTGTGCTTGTTTTCCTCTGGATTGCTAAATATTTTGGTAATATGTAACCCAACTGATAGTAGTATTTGCTCCATGCACCTGAGAAATTTGATTTATTTTCATAAACCTTGTCCTAAAATAAGTGCTGACTCGAGAACCAGGGAGTCAACAATGTCTGCCCCTTCCACACTGTGTAGCTTCCTGCAGGAGCCTTAAACCGTCTCAGCCCTTGGAATGGGAATCCCTGCTAGGCTTCTGGGATACTGTGATGAAATAACAAAAAAGCTCCCTGAAAAAAGTAAACATGCTGTGAAAATAAAGGTATTAGTGGAACCTCAGCTTGACAGTTAAAGTCATCACAGTACCCCTATTGCATTGCAATGACAACATCACAAACCAGATTTGAGGTCTGCAAAGAGCTTGGTGCCACCCATCTTTCCACATTACCCCAGAGCCCGGTGCAGGGCCTGACACTCACAGGCTGCATGGGTCACAGATCAACAGGGGCAGCACTGCTGTGGATGCTGAAAGCAGGAGAGGATCGCAGTTTTCTCTCAACCTAGCCTGGGCCCAGGGCAGCCATGGTGAAGCTGGAGCCACAGCTGGGATCTGACAGGGTAGGAAGTGCAGGGGGGGCAGCATCCATCACCACTTACTGCTGTCATCAGCACAGGTGACCTGCAGGAGCATAGACACAGCGGCTGGAGCAGATGTTGGAGCAGGAGCAGGAGAGGCTGCAGGGACCACCGCCTGGCCACCCAGGTAGGCCATGCCCAGCAGTGACCACAGCTGCCTACACTGGATTTCACAGAAAGAAATGGCTCCTTTCCCATCTCCCCACACACATTTCTCGTTGGCCAATATCAGTGGTGACAAAGTGAAGTACCAGCCACCAGAGAGGCACCTCAGAGTCCTCTCAAGCAGCAGGGTGTCTGCAGCACATGAGCCTGAGAACACTCAGGTGATGTGGGCGCTGGGTCTAAGGCCTCACACAGCACAGCTGTCTCTAGGGAGGAAGCTCCCCACACCTGGGGAGAGGAGCCATCGCTGCTGTGGCCTCGGGGACATGGGGCCTGGAAGGAGCCGGGAAGCCGGCCCCTACCAAGGTCATCAAAGGCAGCAAGGGGACAGAGAGAAAAGGCTGAGTCAGGAGAGATCAAGGTACCCTCAGACTAAGGAGGGCTGAGAGTGGGACTCAGAGCAGGGTGTGCACGCAGCACACACAGGCTGGGGTTCCACCTCAGCACCCCAAACAGCTACCTCAGACCCGGTGTAAGCATGAAGAAGTCCGCCCTTTCCCAGGTCTTATAACTTCCCTCATGGTGTTTTTTTGCTATCTTTCTGTAGTGATTACCAGTACAACCATGAAAATGAAAAGTAATGAAATTTGGCCTTATTAGAGGCACAGAAGAGAGAGGGAGTCTAAAGCAATCCTTTAATCACTCTTTTACTCCATCTGGAATATCCTAATCTTCCTTATTATCACTGTGTTAACCTCAGACTTACACGAGAGTCGTGCAAATTTCCTTATTCCTTTGTGTCTTCTCACGGCCTTTCCCTCTATGATGAGTAGTCAATCAAAAAATGCACCTACTTTAATGGGAAATATAAAGGAAATATATTTCATTAGCCTGTAGAGTGGGCCATCACCATAAGTAAAATTCTGTACTTGGTATCCCTCATGCATGATCACCATTAATGGATTTTAACTTAAATAACTAAGCCACTCTTAACTTATTATATATAATGAAGTGGAATTAGACTGGAAAATGAAACATATTGTATTGAAAAATATTATTAGGCCCTTATTTTGCCAGGTATGTGCTAGACGTTCCTTTATGTTATCTTCTAAATGGTCCAGTGAGGCAGAAATTACTGTTTCTGTTTTGTACGTGAAAAATTCTGGTAGACTGCCAATGATTAACCCGATATTGAACTTACACATTAAAATCAGAATTTCTACCTAGTGCCACTGAATTCTAAAGTATCTGTTTTACTAAACTGCGTTGCTTTGGTGAGTGGAGCATTATTTTATACCTACTCCGGCATATTACATGTATCCATCCAGTGCACTATTTTATTAAGATGCAGCTTCTCCGGGGCCATCATACGTGAGAATCTGTTTTCAGAATCACAGCATCAGAGCTGCTTCCTCCCAAATCCTGCTTAAGGCCGCATGCAGGACACACGTAACTTCACTGGTGAGCAAGCACTTTCCAGTCTTCTCTCCCCATGGGAATCAGCAGCTTGCACAAAAGACAGAAACCTCGCACCTGTGGTGAATGTGAAGTGGCCTTTTCCTCCTCTCCAAGCTTCCCCAAGCATCAGTGGCAAGACATCGTGGACAATGAGGCTTCAACCCCGCTCTGCTCTGCTCATCCACGGCAGCAGCCTGGCTGCAGCCATCGCCCAAGATATGCAGGTGGCAGAGCCTGGCTCTAGAGGAGGGATTTCTAGGTGGAGTTCAGGCACGGGCCCAACAGGGCTCACCGTCTGCTCAGCACCAGCCTTCTTCCACCTCCCTGCTCCTTCACAAGCTCAGAAATACCTTGAATCCCAACTCAAACAGAAACAGACCACCACAAGGGCACTGGGGTTTGGAATCCTCTTCACCAATGAGAACTGTGTTTGGCCTTTCTGGTGAATGTAGCGCAGGGAGACGCTCAGCGTGGATGGCTGCTGATGGGCACCTCAAAGTGCTGCCGAGGTTCCCGTGCACCTCTTATCCACAAAGACCGCCAGCCCCTGATGAAGGCCTCACTGTGCTACTGCAAGTGGCAGCACTCAGTGACGTGGCAGCTCCTGCCTTACAGACGGACTGAAGTGGACAGGTGCATCAGAGAAACCCATGAAGAGCCATCGTCAGTGTCATTGTTTCCTCGGCCACCCCCAGACCTGACCTAAAGCGTGAATCAGAAGGACTCCACTCATCTCTAACAAAAGTCACTCAGAGCTCTGCGTGGGCTGGAGACCACATCTTTACCCACCGACCACCCTGCCTGGACCCCAGTAGGGCAGATCCCCAGGTCCATGTGGTATCAGGGAGCTGGGGCAGCAGAAGGGCAGCAGGCGGGGTCCAGAAAGCAATGGAAGAGGGCAGAGGGTGGACGGAGGAAGGTAGAAAGCAGGGGGCAGGGGCCAAGGAGCAAAGGGCAGAAGGCAGAGGGGTGGGGCAGGGCTGGGATCTGGCAGGCCCCCACCTTACTCTCCATGTTGGCCTCTCCCCTCTCCCAGTCTCTGCCATGACAGCTGGGACAGGACACAGGAATGTGGGTGAGTGAGGAATCTAGGCCCAGAGTGCAGCTCAGCCACCCGACACGAGGCTGGCAATCCCCAGAATCCCACCCCACCCTGGACCTCTGAACAGCACCATCCTGAATGGTTTCTCCCTCTCTCCACATCCCCAGTGGAGACCCCCAGGACCCCTCTCTCCACTGCCGGGGTGCAGGAAGGGTGGTTTTCACAAGTCACTAAAGATGAGACCTCGTTCAACAGCCAGACCACCTCCACCTGGCCTCCTCCACACCCACCACACACGCGCCTGGGGAGAGCATCAGAATCGCAGGTGGAGTCTGCCAGACATCTTGAACCCAGGGACTGGAAAAAAACAAAAAGATGGAGAACCATGGGAGTTACAGGACAGAGTCCGAGTCCTTTGTTCTGTGCCTTACCTGACAGATATTCTGCTTATCTTCTTGGTATTTTCTCCACCAACCTCAAGTTAGAAATTGGATTGAAGCAGAAAACTCATTCCCCGATATCCTAAAGTTTAGAGCACAACAGAGAGGAAAATACAACCCAGAACACCACGGAAAACCCACTTGCGGACAGGGTGAAAGACAGGCACCTCAGCATCTCCCGCATCCCCAGGTGGGGTCACTAGTCCTCCCCTCTCTGCGGAAATGTCACAATGGGCAGCCACCCTCCCAGCAGGGACGGGGGCTGTGCAGTAGGCTGGAGGTCAGGCAGTGCGAGTTTCCTGACTGCTCCTGAGAACAGGCGAGGGGGAGCTGATAGATTTCACTCCCTTCTGGTGTCTAAAATGGGGGCAGAAGCAAGACGGAAAGGAGAGGCTGTGAGCATGTGCCATTCTTTCAGATTTGGGGGCAGTCCCTCCTATTTGTTTTTTAGCTATTTTTATTAATACCGGGGGAAACAGGGTGAGATGCCAGCAGAGACGCATCCCTGGGGTCCTTCACTGAGGAGCAGGGTGGTGAGGAAGGTGACAGCAGCAGACACTCTGCCCTGCACTGGCCTGGGAGGGCTCCTCGCCCTGGCATGATCCCCACGCAGGGGACATGGCTGGGTCAACACCCACTCAGCTTCCTTACACAGTGCCCTACTCTGTGGACAGAGAAAGACAAAACTCTTGTGAGGACAGTTTGGGGAAAGTGAAAGGTGCTGTGTCACCTGCTTCCCGGGGACACTCCCGACAGCTCCGGGGACCAGCATAACCGCGGCCGACAGAGAAAGGCAAGGGCACTGCAATGGCGGCACCAAATGACTAGGAGAAGTTGCTTATGGACGCGGTCTGCTCCTGGCTCGTTAGCAAAACTCAACACATCACGAACGTTCTCACTATCAGGGCTCCAGGCAGGATGTCATGGGCCCCCCAGGCAGCCAACACCCAGTGCGGGTGTCCTTTGAGGATACAGGACAGAGGGACAGAGGTTGGAGACGTGCATCTCATCGTGTGGCCACCACCAGGCATGTTTGGAGCCCCAGGAGCTGCAAGCACTGGCCGGAGCCCAGCTCTGCCCCCAGGAACCTCGAGTGCGTCGCGTGTGTTGCCGTGTGGCACACCACCCGCTCTGGGGCTGGGCACCCACCTGCTCCCGGTGCACACTGACTGAGCGCTTTCCCCGTACCAGACGGCAGCAAAGAGAGCAGAGACTTCAAATCAAAGAAACCATTTCTCAGAGGAGAGCGCACAAGGGAGAATCACAAGGAAACCTTCAAGATAAATACACCAAGAACAGCCACGTGAGAACAGCGACAGCATGGTTAGGACGCTGCCAACAGAAGCACCACAGAGTCGTCATCCCAAAATACCCAGGAAACCGTGAAAGGCGTCAGCAGGACGGAAGTCAGGCTGGAGCGGAAGAATGCGGTTGCGTTGTCATGGTGCCCTTGAAGGTCCTCGGGACTCTGTCCAGCTGTCGTCCTCAGAGCCTCGGGACTCCACCACAGCCTGGGCAATGGCCACCACACAAAGGGCGGTGGGGCCCGTGCTGTCCCCGACACCACTGATGACCACAATGACAGAATCTGCGGGCTGATCCCACTCACAGAAAAGATGCTATTTACTGTGTCTAGAAAGCAAATTCCTGTTTGTCCTTGGAAGGTGATGCTTACACCACAGGAGACCAGGTTGTTGCTGCTGTGACCCCTGCAGGCCTTCTGTTGGAACTCTGTACCATCATAATGCACTGGTATGGTAAGAAGGCCCCAGGGAAGTGAAGGACGCAGGAGAGCTGCAGTTTCTGTTGGTGGGAACACAACAAAGGAAGCAGACAGTGACAGGCCTGTGCCCCAAGGCACAGCCCCCTGCCTTCCTCCCCCAAGGGTCAATTCCCTGGGGGCTTGGCCTGAGGAGAGGAGTAGCTGGGCTCTCAGAGAAGCTGGCATGAGACCAGGCCATTTCTGCGGGACAAGCACACACATGTACACCATACATGCACACACACACACACACACACACACACACACACACACACACACACTACCCCAGGCCTAGGAAAGCACTCAGCCAGCTGGGCTGCTCAGAGGGTGACAGTCAGACCAGGTTCCAGCTTAAGGTCAAGCACACCTAGGTGGCACTGTGTCCTCTCTGTTGTGTCCCCCACCATCACCACCAACCCAAGATGTCTTCAGGGGCCTCAGGGACAAAGCATGTGCTTGATAGTGCTGAGCTCAAAGCAGCAGGGACAGGTGCCCCCCGCAGCAGATGTGCTATTAAGGGGAGGCTCCACGGCACACATTTGCGAGTGCCAGAAAGACAGAAGTGCCACGTTTCTCCAAAAGAAACTCTTTTCATCTTTTTCATCTTGAGACAGGGTCTCACTAAGTCTCCCAGTCTCTGGTCTCCAACTTTCATCCTCCTGCCTCGACCTCCTACAGTGCTGAGACAACAGATGTGAGCCACCAGGCCCAGCAAGGACTGACTTTTGAATTAACTTACATTTAAATACCCACACATTTGGTGCTAGAAGCTGCTGTACTAAACAGTGCGGTTCTGGAATCGCCTTGACTTCCCTGTGCCTTTCGTAACCCTCTGGCCTGAGGTCAGGGATCACTGAAAACCCTCCTGAGCACTGGGTCCTGCACACAGCAATGCCACCGCTCTGGAGAGGACTGGAGCTTTGGTAAGGCAGTGCCTGCAAATGCTGCCCAGAGCTGGCGCAAACAGCGTACTTGTTGGCTTGGCCAGTGACCACTGAGCTTGGAGGTAGAGTGTGGCAATCAGAGTCACAAGCCCTTCTTAGCTGAAATAGAGGGAAAATTCTCACTTGGTGAGGAAAGACATGTCTCTGTACCATCACCAGGTTTGTTTTCTTCCTAGCATGACCACTCACTAAAGAGGGATTGACTTATTCATCTATGTGACTTTTATCAGTCTATGCTGTAAAAAAGCAAAGTTCGTGAAGGTGGTTTGCTCTTCATTTCGAGAAGCTGACATCGTGCTGAGACCTTGCTGGGACGGGTGCCGTGTGAGTGGACCCCAGGTAGCCGAGTGATGCCAGATCCTCCAGCCTGGCTCATACTACTGCTCGCAGGAGAGAGGAAAGACCCCACACACAGCGAGCCCTTAGTGGCGGGTACATGCAGTGACGCGTGGCCCAATTAAGCTGAAATCAGATGCTATTTTTTTTTCAAGATTTGGAATTTCAACTTTCTGGGTTGTTTTATTATATAATTACTCAAAAATTAGTGAGTCATTTAAATTACTGTACAAGAAAATTGGCGATAAAATGATATTCTGTCAAAATTAATTGCCTCTTTTTCCCAAAACCTGTTTGTAAAGATTTCAGTCAAAATGTAAAATGTTTTCCAGAAAATAAAGCTCAATTAACATAAATGAGATAAGTACATTTTTATTCAATGATGTGCTTCAAATGAATTTTGTGTGCTTTACCACTCAACAAAAATAACACATAATAAAGTATTCAGAAGCATATAAATTGTTCTTAATTTGAAGAACCATCAGTCAAAATATATTAAGCTAATAAAGTCAACATTTACATAATTTGGTGACATTGCCACCTAAGTATACTTAGGATAAACTGTACTAGATTGCAATTTACTGAGAACAAAACCATACTAATTGCCGGAGGGGTGCTTGAGTCCTGACTGAGTGTGTAGCACTTGGGAAAGCAGTCAGGATTCGCAGTCACCAGGGTTCCGAGAGGTGGGAAGGGAGAAATTAGGAAGTGCACACTCCATATCAGAAAGGAAACGGTGTTCTTTGTTTGCTTTTTGCCTCCTCTGTAGATTACTGGGTAAGACCATCAAGTCCAAGGTAGGGAAATAAAATAAATTTGTATCAGATGTTTAAATCCAAGGCAATAATTATTATAACAGCCTACACATGGTTACTCTGTGTCCACTACTGATCTGAGATTATGTATCTGTTCCCTGGCTAGGTATTCAAAGCAAACTAAACTAATTGCCTTCCCATGTTTAAAAGAAAACTTTAGATATTATATCGAACAGGGTTGGTTTGGGCAAAGAACTATTCATAAGTAGGGCAGCACTCAAAACCAGGAGAAGCTCAGAGAAATCTTCCCTTCGAAGCCCGACATGGAATCAGAGGGGAGCTGATTTCCATTGCCACAGCCGTGCCACAGCCGGTGTGCTGTGGAGCTCAGGAAGGTGCCTGCCTTGGGC